CAGGAAATCATATTAAGCAAATGTGGCTTAATTGTGAGTGAACCCTGTCATAATTTGATACATTCACACAACAGTACAATAGATGAGATGACAAAGTGTTTGGGCTGTCCCTTTTGGTATCATCTCTATGGTGATGCGTGGGTAAATGACTTGTTAAAGATATTTATTACACAGAAATATCTCATTCGGGGAGATATTGTCTCTGTACATTGCCCTTGGTTTTTATTATTTTTTAACAAAAATTAGCAGCATTTTGTAATATAATTTCTTTTATACTTTAAAGTGGTACAGCAGCCTGGAATAGACTTTGAACCTATTCTGTTGGATGAGCTGCTGCTGTGAATGTATAACTTGACTCATTTAAGTGTATTGCAATACCAATAAATTTGCTCTGTTTTTTTTCCTGGTTGCACAGTACTTGGAATGAATACATAATTATGTGGGATACCTTGTGGCAATATTTTGGCCTACAACGGGCCTCCTGTAATTTTTATCACTGGCAGCTGCAAGGTATGGCTCTAATTCCTGTTTCAAACCAAAGCACTGATATTCTGACGATATTCCTTTCAGCAATGACTTTTTGTTCAGGGAACCAGGACTGATTTGAGTTGCTTTGCCCTGATAAGAAAAGAACAAGGCCGTTTTAATTTAACATTCTTTCAAGGACATTCAGCGCAGATTTTCTGTTATAACTTGTAACAGAATTTGCAAGACCTCAGTGCACACGAAGAAGAGTTTTTGATAGTCACAGAGAAAAATTGATAGCAATTTACATTTCCGACTTGCTTAGTTTAGCAGCATAAGATTACCTTTGGAAATATCTCTCTGGCTTAGGCAGAGAGAGGCTGGATTCCCATATCACACTGAAGCATGACATGACTACATCTCACATTGGCTGGCTTCACACAACACCCATCTATTAATCAAGGTTTATAAGTTGAAGTGGTTGGATTCACAAAATGTCTGATGTGGTTTGCTGGTTGGGATTGGATATCTGTTTTTATTCCTGCCCATTATTTTTTTATGTTAACTATTCAGTTATTCTGGGAAGCAGCAGCCATATAAATTGAGAAATGGATGAAGCAAAAGGAAAGGATTTTCTTGTTAAAGAAAATCAAACAGACCATATTTGGCTTAGCATGATATACAGATTAAGAGTGGTACCGAATTAGAACAACTGTAGCTCAGTGGAATAGTCTGGGTGCTCTGCATGTAGAAGAAGCCAGATTTATTCCTTGGCTCCTCTGGATGTTTGTGGTAAGCACTTCTATTATAAAACTTTTGCAAGTAGAAGCGGCAGCATTGCCAACTCAACCAAAGGGTGTCAGGTTTGCAAAGGTTTGTGTAGACGATATGGAGTGATGAGCAAATCATTCAACACAGTCTAGAACAGCTGGAAAAAGATTCTGATGATGACTGCTGAGTAAGATACTTGAAAAATGATAACTGCATCTTTCAGATTTATGTTCTCTACCCTCCAGAAAATAGACTCTGAATGGTTTATTATTCTCACAGGCCTTCCACTAATATTCATTCCCAGACTTTCAGAGTGTTGAGGCGTCCTCCCTGTAAGTAGACCTTGGTTTTGCCATATTTCAAAACTGACCTGTTTAAGAGGGTTTCAACATTACTTTTTCGTTGCCTTTGTTGTTGTTTTAAAAAAAACTTATGGTTTAAAATTTGGGGAAGTGGATCCTCCATCTCAGGATTCAGTAGCCCTGCTACTAAACTCTCAGCTTTACCATTCTTCTGAGAGTTTGAACTCTCAGCTTTACCATTCTCAAGCCATGCTGTCTTCCATTAGTACCCTTCAATGTAAGATGCCACCTAAGTCATGAAAGTGGCATTTTATGCTGAAGGCTCTAACTTAATAACATAGTATAGCATTTGAGAGTGTTGAAGGTGTTTGAACCTGGTTTTAATTTGGATAATCTGTTCCTAAGAAGCTCAAGCCAACATTTACTATTACATTGTGTTTCCTTTTAGCACGCGGGGGTATGTATATGTATACACACCCCTGTTTGCGCTTATCGCAGGAAATGTTTTTCTTAAAAAAAATACTGGCTTACTGTAGATCTTAGATGAACTAAGATTTGTAATGTCAGTGAACAGAATCAATATTTGGTGGATTCCAGGTGTAGCTTTAAGTTTGGATCTTGCAGCCGGCCCTACCGTTGGGTGAATTGTGGCAGGCAGAATGAGATGGCTACCTGAGGCAGCAGATTTTCAGCTTGGAGAGAAGGCAGCAAATGGTTAAACTACTATGTTAGTTTACCATTAATGCTCCTGGCTCATTGGGGGAATGGCCTGAGATTATATCTCCCAGCCCTAAACCATGAATGGTCAGAGAAAAACATTTCTATTGCTCTCTATCAGTGCATGCAGTTAAATATTAAGTCTTTTTTCTCTCTCTCATTAGAAAAATATCTATTAAGGACAGAAAGATGAAAGAAATAGTGTGCGTTGATATGTTGAAGAAATTGCTGAGTTTTCTAAATAAGCCCATATTTTTAAAATTTGGAAGCACCCTTGTTTCAGTTTAACTCTTACTTTTCCCTGGAAGAAAACAATTAGGGAGATACAGGAAATTTGAATGAATGGTGACACACAACAACACTCTCTCCTTTTGATCTGTGGCTTTTAAAAATATGGTTTAAACTTGGCTAGTCAGCTGTTCCCTCATGCTGTTGTTGCTTTGAGCCACAGAAAGTAAAAGAGGAAGCTGGGTTCTGCCCTACCTGAGATTGTTTCTTTCCCCCCCCCCCTCCTATCTCCGTTTCCAGCGCCACCTTGGTCTGCCATCCTGTCCCAGCCAGATTTGCAGAGGTGAGCTGCTCTCCTTCCCCCTGTTCTCTCAGTGTTAATTGTGTGATAAGACATCTGCTTAAGATGAAGAATACTGGGCGGTGAATGGCAGCAGCAGCAAAACACTAAAAGGTACAGCTCTGTGTCCTTAGTCACTTGCTGCATGCCCTCCTAAACTAGTTAGCTCCACTTAGCTGCATTGTAGAAAGCTGTCCTGCTTCTTGAGTTGAAACACAATTCAGTTGTTAATGTGGGTACATTTTTATTTAATGCAAGGAGACTGTCCACCTGGTTTGCTTTGGGTAGCAAATGCTTTGTCAGTTTGTCTGCTGTTTCTTATTCCTCTAAGTCCCTCCTTAGCTGCTTTTCCATGGGGAACCAGTAACATAGGCTTAAGGCTTGCTGTCGGCGGAATGGGACAACTTGTCACGGCCAAGTCGCCATGGCCTTCTTGCCATAGCCAACTCACCGCAGCCATCTTCCTGCAGCCAACTTGCCATGGACAACTTGCTGCAGCCAACTTGCTGTAGGACAACTCGCCATGAGATGATTCCACATGGGATAACAACGTGATAAATGTTATCCGCCATTGTTTCTTCTACATTATTTCCATTGACAAAAATGGAAACAATGTAGAAGAAACAGTGGCAGATAACATCGTGTTGAGTTGTCCCACATGGATTGTCTCATGATGAGTTGTCCCACCGTGAGATGGCCATGGCAACATAGCCATGCTGGGTTGGCCGCAACAAGATGGCCAGGGTGAGTTGGTCATGGTGAGTTGGCTGTGACAAGATGGCATCAATGAGTTGGCTGTGGTGAGTTGTCCTAGACCCTCCTGTGGAATACATCTACTATCCTGCTAGAATAGTGAGGGATGTCCTGTTAGGAAATGTTGATGGCTTCCTTGTATCAAGTCGGGTGTATTAGCCATGGTGGCGCAGTGGTTAGAATGCAGTACTGCAGGCTATTTCTGCTGACTGCTGGCTGACTGCAGTTTGGCAGTTCGATTCTCACTGGCTCAAAGTTGACTCAGCCTTCCACCTTTCCGAGGTTGGAAAAATGAGGACCCAGATTGTTGGGGGCAATAGGCTGATTCTGTAAATCACTTAAGGCTGTAAAGCACTGTGAAGTGGTATATAAGTCTAGGTGCTATTACTATTAGGGTGAGGGTTCGTAGGTAGGAATAATTGGGGAAGTGGGTGGGAAATTCATACAAGCTTTATGTTGAAAGTGACAGAGGCAAGATCAGGAATGGGAATCTAGGATGAACATGTCCCAACACCTTTTCTTGCTAAAGATTATGCTTTGGATTTGAGTAGCAAACCCCTGAATTATGGAAGTGTGAGGGGGTTTTTTCTTCCCCAAAAAAAGAGAGTTATAATCGATGTACAACAGTCTTAAGAGTTTTAATTAACTTTCTTCACAGTTAATAGCAAAAAAGCACCACAATTTCTCTCTACCTCCCACTGGTGATATCACAGCATCTTTCTTATATACTAAGAGATTCTTGGCAATTGAAAGAAATGGCTAAAAATAAAAAGTTAAAAAAATAAAGGGCACCTCATCCCTGTGGTAGATTATGAGATTCTTCAGGTATTTTCACATGTATTAATCCCTTTCTTCCTCCTCCGGTTTGCAGCACAGGCTTTGCTTACAGCCTTTGTAGTCAGACACCTGCATTCATCAGAATTGAGGATAATGGTAAGTTTTAAAGACTCATATACAAGAAAATGGGAGACTATTCATGTTGTAACTGCTCTAGGACCAGAAGTCCTAGCCGTTGGAATAAATAGCCTTTTGAAAATCTTTTGTGAAACAGAGCAAGGATACAGGTTAGAATGTACCTTTGGGAATCCACTGTACCGCATTGTGACGACCTAATCTCCCTTACAAACATTGTCTATTTTCAGAAAGTGTTCCCAGTTATGAAAACGAAGGTGAGTAGCAGCATAATTTATATTCTTTTTCCTTTTCCCCTTCCCACAATCTTTGCCTCACTTTTCTTGAGTCTTTTTGATCTAGATTTGGGTGCAGTGCACGTGGCCCTTCTTTGGATTCTGGAAGCTTCTTTATAGTTTCAGTGGGGTTTCATTTTCAAGGTGAGGAGGGAGGTAGAACTCATTTATATCTAAAGAGGAGCATCTAATCTTTTGGGGCTTTGTCTTCCCAGAACCACCTTTCGTCCCTGATGATGATGACAATTATATTCCTGGATACATGTAAGTCTTTGGAAAGGATGGGAGTCAGGGGGAAAGCATATTTAGGTCAATATAGTGTTATTTTAGACTGAATAATTTAGCCTTCTATCATTCCCAGTTTGTGCAGAGAGTAGCCAGGGAATGTAACTATAATTACAGGTCGTCCCCGACCTACAACAGTTTGTTTAGTGATTGTCTGAACTTACAACAGCACCGGAAAAAAGTGATTATGACTGTTTTTCACACTTATGACCGATGCAGCATCCCCATGGTCACATGATCAAAATTCAGATGCTTGGCAATCAATTCTTATTTATGATGGTTGCAGTGTCCTGGGGTCATGTGATCCCCTTTTGCGACCTTCTCACAAGCAAAGTCAACCTGAAACCAGATTCACTTAACAACCATGTTGCTAACTTAACTGCAGTGATTCACTGTGGCAAGGAAGATTGTAAAATGGGGCAAAACTCACTTAAAAACAGTCTCACTTAACAACAGAAATATTGGGCTCAATTGTGGTCTTAAGTTGAGGACTCCCTGTATAGCATTGTAGTTGTATTGTGATGGTTCTCCTTCTCTGAAATGCTCTCCCTGGCCTGGAAGATGCTACCATTGTATGTTTTAGGCATCTGGGTGAAGAAATGACACGCTTTGTGTGAAACCTACTGTATATTTTTTTCCCCCATTCTTCCTTAATGTGTGTATATGTGCATGTAATTCTGAAATTTAATATATAGTTGTTTCCTTTGTCTGCATCTGAACGTTTTAGAGGTTTTACAATACAGAGGGTAAAAATGATACCAAGTTGTTTGAATGTAGGAATATAATCTAGAAGTTGGATTAAAAACTGTGGTTCATAGATACGGTATATGGGATGAATCACAGCACTTTATTCCTTAAAGTATCTGTGTTGTATTTATAGAATTTCTTGGTTCCATACTTGGGATTCCTGGATTTTTTTTTTCATTTATAACATTCCTTGCCATTTGTTCACAGCAGTTCAACCAATTTAATAACTATTTCTTAGTAATTTAAGAGAGGTAATACAAAAAGGGAAAGAATGAGCAGTAGAAATAGACCAATTCCAATTTATAACCTAATGAAGGCAGTTGTGGGCGAGGAGTAGCAATATTGATTCATTGCTTCATTCTGCTCTTACTGGGACTTGCTTGCCCTCAACAGAGAGGTGTTGCCTGATGTTCCAATCACAGAACAGAGAAAAAAAGATCATGCCTCTTCTGGTAAGTTGACAACTAGGAGGATTCTTTTGTCCCTCCTGGTCATGGCCTCTTAATGTTGTTGGATTAGAGGAGATCAAGCAGGCTGGCCATAAGCGATCTACAACTACTGTGGCAGCCACCTGTGCTGGCAGCAGCAAACAGGCAAGAAATGCAGCGGGGGAGAGGTCGCCCTCCAAGAGGAATGAAAAAAGGCAGCAATGGCTGGAGGTGAGGCACGGAGGAGGGAAGGAGATGGAGAGTGGAAGGATTCTTATGTGCTTTTGTGACTTTGAAGTTCTGGGATTTGTGCAATGAGGGCTTTGTGTTCTTGAGTGTTTGGCAATTTCTATTTGGCTGATGTCTCGTGTTAGCTTCTATTGCTCTGCTGTTGTTAGCTGTAAGTTTTGCTGCAAGGGATTTTGAAGTATTTTTCTCCTGAATGGATTTTGCCTGTAGCATTCCTTTACTTATGAATGGAGCCATTTGGGGAGGTTGCCTTAGCCGGCAGCCAGTACTTACATTTTTTTTTNAGAAGGAGATGGGAATGAGAAAAAGGGAGGCAGGGAAGGGAGGGAGGAAAGGAAGTCCCGCCTTAGCACTTGGCCACCAGCAGCTCTGCCATTGACTTTGCTTGTCAAAAGGTTGCAGAAGGGGATCACATGACCCTGGAACACTGTGACCATTATAAATATGAATCAGTTGCCAAGCATCCAAATATAAATCACATGATCCTGGGCATGCTGCAATGGTCATAAGTGTGAAAAATGGTCATAAGTCATTTCAGTGCAATTGCAACTTTGAACAGGTTTTTTTGGGGTCACGTTTTTGACACCTTACTAGGTGGTACTCAAATATTGCCATATCCTAAAAGTGGTACAATCGGTAAAAAGGTTGAAAAGCCCTGGTCAAAGAAACCACATTAGAAGCTGAGATGTCTTCCCAGGTTCTATGAAGAGAAGGGCATCCCCTCATAACTGATCTGTTCCTGCGGGATGAGAGTCAAAAATTTTCCCTTCTAACAATTTGGAATATTTTTAGCAACTAGCATGGGTGCTTCAGATCTGTGCTGGTCAATTGACAAGTAAATCCTACCATGTTTTGAGGTGTATACCTAGATAAGAACAGCTAGAACTCAACTTACAACTGGTCAATTAGCAATTGTTCAAAGTCACAATGGACACCTCAAAAGCTATTTACAACCCAGTTTCAAAGTTACAATGGTCACATGCACTCCCCCCAGTTATGTGATCATATTTTGGATGCTTGGCACCCGGCTTATTTGCAGTATTCTATGGTCACAAGGCCGCAGTTTTGATGTGGTTTGCTGGTTTCCTACCTTTACTTCCCGTTTCCAACAAAAAACAGCCATTGGGTAAATGGATTTGCTTAACAGTCACATGGTGGTTCACTTAATAACTGCAACAACATACCACCATAATTCCAGGCTCAATTATGGTCACAAGTCAAAGACCACCTGTATACAGAAGATTGCAATATTTTATGTGTTTAAAACTTTGGTTTTTCTGAAAAAAGATAATTTATTTTGTAATTACTATAATAATTCCCTATCTTAATTTAATTGTTAACAACCCTGAGTACAGGTAGTCCTCAACTTATGACCACAGTTGAGCCCAAAATTTCTGTTGTTAAGTGAGACATTTGTTAAGTGAGTTTTGCCCCATTTTACGACTTTTCTTGCCACAGTTGTTAAATGAATCACTGCAGTTGATAAGTCAGTAACACAGTTGTTAAGTGAATCTGGCTTCCTCATTGACTTTGCTTGTGAGAAGGTTGCAAAAGGTAATCCACACAGGCCCTTGGGACATAGCAACAGTCTTAAATATGATCCAGTTGCCAAGCATCTGAATTTTAATCACATGATCATGGGGATGCTGCAAAGGTCGTAACTGTGAAAAACGGTCATAAGTCACATTTATCAGTGCCATTGTAACTTTGAACAGTCACTAAATGAACTGCTGTAAGTCAAGGACTACCTGTAATATGTATTGCTTCATTCTTTTTAAACATGTTTCCCTTCACCTAATTTTTTTTCTCTAGAGTCCATAATGGACCAATATGAAAATGTGCCCGAGTCTCAACGGCATTCACTCGGTAAGTGGAAGAAATGGGCTGAGAGGAGGGACAGGACTAGCAATAAAAAAAAATAGTGGTGGAGTTGAGTTTAGAAGATGGTTTGGTTGGCATATAGTGGAACAAAGCAAGTTACAATGACGTTCTCATCTATGAAGGAGCAAATACTGTCCCATAGCTTTAAAAATGGTTCTTCAAGACTCCTTTTTCCAGATATATTGGAAGGGTATTTGTTCTTATTTTATTTATGTAAATTTTTAAAACCGCCTAATAGCTGAAGCCTTCAGGCATTTTATAACAAAACACATTAAAAGATTCATTATAATAATAATTAAAATAATTATTAATAATTATAAATAAATAATTCATTCATTTATAGCACTACTACTAGATTATGTAACAGCTTTGTTCCTTATGCCATCCGTCTTGTAAATTCACAGGATTCTTTTTTTTCTGTCATGTATATGTATACATTCGAACTACTAGACTGTGATGTTTCTCTGTGTCATATATGTATGTGTATGTGGTTATATGCATAATGGTATTTTTTTTGAGAACTGAATGCAATGACATTTTGTTTTTAATGTATGCTGATTAGTGTACATTTAAAGTTTTTTTTAATTCTATTGTATTTTGAAAAAAAGAACATATAGAATAAATATGGTCATTTATAAATAAAATGCAAAATGAAAACATACAAGGTAGGCAGCAAAAAGGCATTCATTCAGAGTTTAAAAAAAATACAAATTTAAAAACCAATAAAAAACCTGGGAAAATAGATCTTTGCCTGATGCCAAAATGATGCGAATGTCACCCCAATTGGGATTCGTTAGGACAGAATTCCATATGTGGGATGCCTGTTCTGGACCCTGGCAGTTATTGGGTTAAAGGCTGGGTTTGTCTTTAGGTCAGTGGGAGGAGTTTCTGGACCCTGGCAGTTATTGGGTTAAAGGCTGGGTTTGTCTTTAGGTCAGTGGGAGGAGTTTCTAAAGGGCATTGGGAGACTTCCTGGACACTAGCCACATGGGGGTTCTTTGTTCATCTTGTTCATGGCATCCAGCCACACGGCTGGAGATCCCATAATCATCCCAACATGTGACGCTTAGGCAGAAGAGGGGAAAATCCAACATCAATTTACCTATGGAAATGAACAGAGAGGTGTTAAGCCAGGAGTAACCTCGTAGATCCAGGTATTTCCTCTGCAATAAACATTTATCTGTTTTAAAATCATTTCTATTGAGTGGTCTGTCTGCCTCGGATGGAACAGCCAGCCGGTGTTCTGTTTGGGTCAGAACAGTAAATTGATGTGATTAATTTTCCTCTGATCTGCAACAGTTTAAAGAAGTAAAGTAAAGATTCTCTTGCATGTGAAAGAATGCTCAGAGTTCATATCAGCTTTGTAAAGGCAAATAGTAACTTGATGTGGCTGATTTTCTTCGATTGCCTGCAACAGTAATTTGATGGGACTAATCTCTCACTAAACGTCTGCAAAGTAAATTCAAAGTATCTTCACATTTGACTCTGAACTAAAGAAAAGCAAAAGTTATAAAGTGCTTTGTGTCTTGTTTGGATACTTCTGCTAAATAGTCTTGGGATCTGTTTACAAGCCAACTATCTCAGGAAAGGTTTAGCCCTCTTCAGCCACTTTCAAAGCAGTTGCTAATGTCGTTTGCATGTATTTCTATAGCCCTACCTTTCTGTGGCTTTTCACATTTGAAAAGATCAAAGGACTTGTGAGCAGCAACCCCCCTTCCCCCTTCCTTTGCCGGCAATTCGTCTTGAGGCAATGAAGGGATGGCTTCAAAAGATCATCTGTGAACTCAACTCAGTTTGCTTGTTAAGCGAAGGAGCCAGTGGGTGTTGTTACTGCTTCAGTAAGCCTCGTTAGCACGTGAATTCAACTTGCTTGTTTTGGAATGTGTGGGATTGCATGAGACCGACCCTTTAAACGAACATAGCCGGATGGAAAGGGTTTCTTGCTAACCTTAGCAAATTTTGTTGTCTTTGTTTGATGCTTGGAAAGAGTGATTCTCCCCCTCTTTTCTGGCCCCAGCACAAACATTGTGACCATTTGTTCCCTCGGCAAAGAGCAGGGCACATTCCTCGTCGCTAAGGAAAGCAATTAAGCAATTAAGCTGCTCTCTCCAACACAGCGCTGGTGAAAGAGGCCTGCAGCTTAACGACCAGGTGGGAGTTTTGTACCTCTACATTCTCTCAGTGGCCACTAGCAGGAACGTGGTAATAGGAAGAATTTGGCTGGCCTTTCTTCAGATGCCCCCTAGTGGTTAAAGGAGGAGCTACACGCAAGCCTTTAATCACGCCCAGAGAAAGCCCTCTAGTGGACAAAGGGTGTACCTCGAAGGAAGAGCACCCCGGTAGCTGATACGCAGAAAGTGACCCCTAGTGGTGAACAGGTGAATTACGCTGAAGTACCCACAAGCACAGGAGAACGCACCCAGTGGCACCTCCACCCACAGACAGCACCTCTGAAGCTGATCTGCAAGTAGCAACCCCTAGTGGTCAAAAATAGAAGTTCATCCAATTGGCTTCTAAATAGCTAGGAAGTATACTGAACCTATCCTAGCCATGGCAGAGTGTCCCACTGATTTAGATGAAGGGGTTCAACCAACCAGCCTAGTTGAGACACCCCAACCAGCCGGCCAAGGAGAAATGCTGCAAACAGCCAGCCTTGACCTGCACACAGAGGCTGAATCTCAAGCCTCAGCAAGGCCAAAGACGTCTCAGAGTCACTATGATCTGAGACAACAAAGAAAGCCTACAGAAGCCATGCATGCACACCTGTTAGAGAAATGGGACGCCGTTTACAAGTGCCATGAAAGATGTTGGGAGAAATGGCACAAACTCTACCAAGAGCAAAAAGAGGATCCCTTCCCCTGAATGTGCGCACGCAGTGGAAGGAGATAAGGAAGACGCCTTCGCGCAATGGATGGACTCCGAACAGCAACTCAAGGACATTCAGGAGCAATTAAGAGACTCAGGAGTCGACAGCGAGATGCAAAGTCTCAAGTTACTGAACGAGGAACGCAAGAAGCTTCTAGAGAGCCCACAATGCCCTCCAGAGCGCGAGCCTCGCCTGAGGGACAGACTGGTCGACAGGGCCGAGTCTGAAGTTTCCCGCCATTCACACGCACCGTCCCAACGGTCGCACGTGGCTCCATCCCACGCGTCTGGAAGGGCCTCATCCTTTCGCCACATATCCAAGGCACATTCCAGCGTGTCACAACAATGGCATGTCACAGGCACCTCCCGCCATTTGAAAGCATCTTCTCGTCACAGCCGACCATCCCGAATTTCACAAGAAGAGTAAGCAATCATAGATGCTAACGCTGCCGAAGCAGTTTTTTGCGTGGCACAAGAGGAGCAGCTGAAGAAGAAGGAATTGGAGGCGATGGAAATAGAAGAAGCTCAAATGAAGGCCAAAAGAAAGGCTGAAGCAGCTAAAAGGAACGCTGAAGCAGATAAAAGAAAGGCTGAAGAAGCTGAAGCAGAAGCTCAAGCTGAAGCTCAAGCAGAAGCTGAAGCAGCTATAAGGAAAACCAAAATGAAGACCACTCAAGATGAGCTTGAGCTCATACAAAGCCGACGAGATGTAGCAGACAAAGTGGCAAGAGCAAAAGGCCTTCAGAGAACATTCCAGAAAACCATTTTCCTGCCCAATAGGGAACAATTGGAAAATGAAGATCGTCGTAGCCGCGTGCAAGCCTACGTGGACAACCAAAGTGCGTTTCAGCATGAGGAGGTGAGACCACAGCCAGCCACAAGCCCCCCAAGACCAAGTAGACGAACAGAAGAATCTCAACGGCCAGATGTGCCAGTCAGCCACAGGGTTGATATCGCGACAACTAGGCCACGGGTTCTTCCCACCGTTGCTGCCCCATCGAACCACACCCTTGATGGCAACCGGATGGGTCCACCAGCAACGGCAACGGCTACACAGCGGGGAGCACAACAAGATCTTTCCACCGTTGTTGCCCCACTGAACTCGCCGAACCACACCACTGATGGCAATCGGATGGGTCCACCAGCAGCGGCAACGGCTACACAGCGGGCTGTGCCACAAGATCTTCCCAGGCCACGAGATCTTCCCATCGTTGCTGCCCCATTGAACCCACCAAACCATATCTTTGATGGCGACCGGATGGGTCCACCAGCAACGGCAATAGCTACACAGCGGGGAGCGCAACGAGATCTTCCTATCGTTGCTGCCCCATTGAACCCGCCGAACCATACCTTTGACGGCAACCGGATGGGTCCTTCAGCAGCGGCAATGGTTACACAGCAGGAAGTGCAACAGCTCCGAGATGAGCTCGCCCAAAAAGAGTCAATATTGAGACAACAGGAAGCAGCCTACTGGGGAACAACCCCCAGGCCTAACCACAGAGGAGAACCTCAACCGACAGCTGTACCAGCCTAACAGGGAGCCAGCTACACCACCAGAAAGACGAGAGACCCTCCAACAAGTGAGCACCCAGGACCTTAGCTCCCCTCAGCTCAACGCCAGGGCAGAGGAGTTCAGACCAAGTCAACAAGGTCCCTCGCATGTGACATGGCAAAATACCCTCAACCAACAATACGCTGAAGGAAGTTACCAGCTAGCCACAGCACACGCCCCCGCTCCCAGAAGTGATGCACCACCTCCACCAAGCTACAGCCCACACATGGAATCGATGTATTCCCCAATGTACGTTGGAAGAAGGTTGGACTTGGCAGCCAGAGGAGTACGAAGATTCTCCGACAAACCTGGAAAAGACTACTTATTGTGGAAGCACATCTTCACGCGCGCCATCAACCAGGAAAGGGCTGGGCCAGATGAAGAACTTGTCCAGCTGACAGCCTGGCTAGGCCCAAAATCCGTAATCACAGTGAACAACATCTTCGCAGCCCATCTGGGCGACCCTGACATCGGCCTTGTACAAACTTGGGATGCACTTGACAAGGACTACGGTGAACCCACAGTGACAGAGTCCTCGCTCCTGGACCACGTTCTCAGTTTCCCCAAC